AAGTAGGCTACATTGTTACTCTGTTTACATTTCTCTGATTGCACAGTTTATTTTCGGGCTCATCCAGGTCAGATCTAATTCTGCTAGTTGCTATTTTCCTTTGCAGTCAGACTGTTGATCATATTTCTAATTAATCAGTGAGGGTTTTTTTTAGTCCCTAGCATTTAAGAAGTTGATGTAAATAAAAACAGTGTAAGATTGAATAAACTGGAACTTCTTCTTTGGGAGGTTGGCGCTTACTTAAGCAACTGATTATCACCATATTGAAATAATATTTGCCCCACTTTTTGGGCCAGTCTGAGCACTTTAACACACTCCATATGGCAGAACTAAAGGAAGATTACAACTTCAGGTTGTAGGCTTTGTGATCCAAAAGGCAAAGTTTTAATTCTCTTGCTCACCTCATGTGTGACAGTTGTCTTTTCTCGCAGATCTGGCAGAAGAATCAGGAAGACTCGGAAGTATGATATTATCACTACACCTGCAGAGCGCGTCGAGATGGCGCCTCTCAATGAGGAAAACGATGAAGAGGATGACTCAACCCTTTTCGATGTCAAATACAGGTTGGTTTGTTTTGTTTTTATTTCTTTTGGATCACTTAAGCAATGACAAGTTCATCATGTTACATTCATCATATTCCAAGCAGAACCAGAGGAAAAACTCCTTTTCTTCAATTTCTACTGGTCACATAAGCAGAGAAGAAAGAAAACACGAGAGCCTCATAACACTGAGAATGTTCTACGTGTATCAGAGAAGAGAAAATGTAGATGTGGATGAGATGCTGACCATGAGAAGCCATGAGTACTAAAAATGATGGCCTTGAAGACAGATCATAAGTTTCTTTGTACAGGTTCTTACACAGCAAATGTAAGGTTAATGTAGATTTTAAAACACTGATACGTTTTCCTCAGGCGCCTTAATCTTTACTATTATAGCCATAAAATGCTGAAACCCTGATTTGCTTATGCAAAGCAGATTGCACTTTGGTTTTGACTGTGAAATTTTGCACAACGGCAAATTTACCAGCCGTCCCGGAATTATTATTATTATTATTATTTTAAGTACAAAGCTTGATTAAAAACTGTGTGTCTGACCAGCTTTGGTCATCCTAAAGAAACACACTACTTTAATTCTAATGCACTGTTGACTTTAGGTCTCACCCTTCCGTGCTTTCCATTGTTCACACAGTCACTTCCTCAAAGGGACGCCTTGTTTAATTGACATTCCTGACTTCCAAGTCAGACAGGACTCTTGACGGGCAAACACACTTCCTCCTCACTGTGTGCTCGTTAAGTAACTCTAAGTTTCTGCTTTGCAGGTGAATACCGGCGTGGACGTCAGCGTGTTTGAGCTGATGACTCCCACTTGGCCCGGGACAAGTACAAGTGATTTCCTGTATTTTTTTGGGGGGTGTGTGTGTGTGTGTGCGCGCATTTCCAAGTCTTACCATATCAGCAACTTAATGCTGTCAGTGCATGGCTTGTATCTGTGGTTAAATAGTGTTTTGACATTACTGTTCGCTGCTTTCCTAAAGCTTCTATCACGTGAGCCAAATAATCTCCCAGGTTATTTCTAAGTTAGAGATAAGGAGGCTCCAAAAGTCTTTCAGCAAATGTCTGCTTTGAAGCCATGTCCGTAATCCAGGGTTAATCACACTTTAAATAACTAAATAAATACATGGTGGTCACTACAGATCATCGCCTAATGCGTAAAGTAGTCATTTACCAAGAGTACTTTCTTCAACTGTAAAATTTAATTGATATTTTTTTAACCAAAACCAAATATTACCTATATGTACTAACCACTTTGTTGTGCGTATATACTGTTAAAGGCTTTCCGGTCAGGAGTGAGCACACGCTACATATATATATTTTTTACCGTGTATTCTTTCAGACATTCCTGTTTCGCTGCTATCACAGCTGACGTTGACCTTTAAGGTTATCAGATTTGACTCGAAGCGCAAAGACTTTTTGTGTCATATTTATGGGGTATATACCAGTTTGCTATGAATGTAAATCTGCTGTTATCGAGTGCGCTGAAACACGCTTAATCCTTAAAAAAGGAACCGCTGAGCAGGATCGGCGCTGCCTGTGGAGACTGCGGTCATGCCGCCACAGTGATTAACATGCGCCCAGTATCTTACTTTCAAGGCCAAGTTAAAGTTTGACTTTTCAGGGTCAAAGTCCAGTTGCTCGCTTTAAAAATATCCCCAAATTTGATATTCTTTATACGAGCTAACAAATTAAAGTCCCTCACTGTAATATTCACTAATGGCTAACTGACTTCTTCTCATAAAAGAAGAAATTTTCCTGGGCTATGATTGTATTAAAGGCCACTTTTGACATTTGGGGAAAAGTGATTGTTACTTTTTATAAATACTAAACCACTATATTAAAAACTCATATTAAAAAAATTAAATTACGATTATCTATCTAAAGTTTTATTCAAAGTGAATGAAAGGAAAAGCAGAGGAGATCACAAGACCCTCACGTCTCCGTCTGCCCAATAACGATAATTACATTGTTTGAGGAGCGAGGCAGAACACACAGATGAGCTTTTCTGCAGCACACGGTCGCGCGGTTGCCGTCTGTGACCTTCTCTTTTAATCCAAACTGTTATCTGATAGTGCACTGTGGCCTGCAGGTGCAGCTGTTTCCAAATGACCTCCATCCTCGGTTTAATAAGAAAATAAAAAGACTGCCGTGACCAAACTTGCACAATCAATTTATCGTCTTCTTTCTCTCCCCACGCCTGTCTGAAATAAAGTGTTTTTGGCATTTTGGGTAAAGCTGGATGTGTTTATTGTTTTGACAGAATCATTCATTGAATCATATGTGAATCAAACTTGTAAACATACTGTATTTTTTTTTTTTTTAATATGATGTTCTGTAATATTCCTCAAGCTGGCTGCTGTTATTTACTGTTTTCCACTTTTTCTCTTCTGTCCCGTGTCTTTAACTGTTTGTGCAGAAAGCTGCAGATCAATGTGTTTGTGCCTGCTCAGACAAAGATGCCAACCTTTGTCAAAGTTTTTTTTTTCTTTTTCTTGGCTGGAGTTGTGTGAAATGATGGAAAAACTTCACCGAATCATCTGCTGCACATGGTCGCTCGTAAAGAGAAATTAAAGCTGTAGCGGTGAAACTAATTTCCATGATTCCGCATTTTACCCAAAAACAAAAAAGAAAAAAAAATTACAAGTGGAACTGTTTTAAAGGTTTATAGTAAACAAGCCCCTGCTTGGTTTCTGACACAGATGTGCGTGTAGCCCTGTCTGTTTCCTCAGTTTCCATTTATTTGAAAAACCACTGAAATAAACCCGCTTCCTTTGAAGTGTCAAGGAAAAATTTTGTGTATTTTTTTGCCACAGAAAAGTACATTCACGTTGTCATAAATGCACACGTTAAGCATCAGTGAGTCACACTGAGGATCATAAAAACGAACAAAAAGACTGGAATATGCTCAAACTGTATCCATTAACACAAGACAAACATGCAAAAGCGAGTATTAGTTTGCTGTAATTTGCACATTAAACAGATGTTAACAGGGTACGGGGGGGGGAGCAAGATAAAAACTGTACAATCTTCAGAGCAGGGAACATGTGTGAGAAAGTTTTTCTCATCTGTGGCAAACTCCACATTCTGGGTTAATTAACTTAATAGCGTTGGTCACAAACCGTTTCTATTTTTGCCAAAGTCAGACAAGCTCACACAAATAAACCTTTCATTGCTTCAGACTGCTGACGTCTCTAGTACAACTTTCATGTCTATTCTTAACTTAATTGGCGGCGTAATAAGGTCGACATGCAAGTCAACAGGCGCATCCTGTCAAAACAACACTTTTTGTGGACAAATCACATGGCTGAGAGCGCATGAGAGGCTATTTGTTTAGCTATGGAGCTCTTGGAATATTTCAAATGCTTCCTTTAATTTTCTATAACAGAGGCATATTGTTACAGAAAAATACCCAGAGCTTCTTGGCCAAAATCTCAACATCGAGATAACTCCAAAAAAAAAAAAAAAAAAAAAAAAAAGCCCAAAACAAAACCCCCTTTGATGAGGTGGATCC